CTTCCTCCTCAATTCCTATCTCTTTCTATACTCTTGATCTAGCAGAGGGTCCTGTCTTCCTCTTCCATTCTGAGAATGGAGAGACTGGGTCTCAGATTTCCTGGGCAGCCTGATGGTCAGCACAGTGAAGCATCCTCTGAAATAGAGGCCGGTGGAGTCCCGGGCTAACATTCTACCAGACAGGCATCCAGAGCATAAAACTGCTCAGATCTCCTTTCCTTTTTCCCTCTTGCCCGTATACTGGAAGCTTCATGATTCGTAGAGCCAAGTTCCATATTTTTAAGAGTAGAAGAGAATCAGAAATTAGCAAGATGCTGTTTTCCATGAATTTATGGAGAGATGTTACTTTCAGGTCTGTTGACACTCAGGTCTGCCCAGAGCTGCCCGGAGAGGGGCCAGAGCTGCTCAGACGACCATGACCTCCACCTGGCTTCCTTTGCCCTCTTCCCTCAACTTACTGACTAAAGACACTTCATACATTTAAGAAAAGCCCTGGAAGGCGGGGAGTGGTAACAAGATGGTGGAGGGCAGACGGATCAGAGAGATCTCTGGGATCATGAATCTTGGGTGGAGCTCAGGTTTCCACTCAGAGATTTTATGAGTTTATGCCCAGGAATCCCTAATGTCTACCTAATTTCTAGGTTGGAAGCCTGTATTTAAATTCACAAAAGCAATTCTCCATGTGCCTTGTCTTTATACACAGGACTTGTGGGGAGGAAAACTGAGTGGAGATTTGTAGTAGATGTTTCAAAGATTTAAAATCCCTGATAAGATATGTTTCCAAACAGTCAGCTCTCTAGTTTTCCAAATCTTTGATGACTTTTCTTACCCACACATACACAAAAAGACGTTCAGGCATTTGATGTTTCTGAAACCCAGCCTGAGGCAGAAACTTAAACACATCTCAAGTTGTGATCACAGAAGCAATAGGCTTCCACTGGAGTTGAGGTTCTGTAGAGCATTTCACGATAAATTTATCAAAGCTACTGGAGCAAAAGCTTTATAAATAATTCTGGCATCCTTCATTACTCATTATTTGCTGTCAGCCCACTGGGGGCAATTAGTCTCCTTAGAAAGGAGAGGCTTCCCATTTATACAGTTGCGTTCACAGCATCTTTATTTTTGTGAACATTTCATTTCCTCAATTTCTGGATTGATTTTTGCAGTGTTGGAGATTTTTTATTTGTGAAAACCCTCTGAAGCAGCTGTGAACTTAGGATTTTTTCATGCATTTTGGGGTCATCTAACAAATTGTGTCCCTGATGTTTGCTAGAAACTGTGCTGGGAAGGGGATGCAAAGCCCATGCAGATATGTTCCTGGACATGAGCTGGAGGAATTTACAGAGGTGTAAACAGATAATTAGGGTTCGGTGGGAAGAATGCTGAAAAAGAGGCCATGAATAGTAGATGAAGGATAAGGGGAGGATACCAAGGATGTCTGGGTTTTGAAGGATGTGTAGAAATTAGACAAATAAAGAAAGAAGGAGGCATTTTCCAAGCATAGGGACATGTGTGAAGCCCTGTAGGTTTGAACCAGCATGGAAGTCTGAGAGCAAAAAGATCTTTCCTACTTCTGGTTGATCCTGGGAAGCAGTAAGATCTCAGAAGGAGAGCTAGGCAGGATGTGTCTAGGCAGATGGGTTTGTTTTCTGGATTTTTTGAGAGTGGAACTATATGACCCCTGTTAAGTCAGCTATTTAGAAAATATTAAAAGCTTAAAATGCTCTTTTGCCTTTAATAGAATCACATTAATAAAGTCAAAATTTAAAGAGAAGAAAAGGAGACTGATCTTGAGGAAAACAAAAATCAGAACTGTGCTAGGAGGTAAAAGGAAAGTAGCCAAAAGAATAATTTCCTGAATTCGATTTGGAAATGGTAATGTGTATGTGATATATACTTACAGAATACATACAGACATACATATATATTATATACATACAAAATGCACACAGATATAGTATATATGTGTGTGTATATGGTATGTATATGGTGTGTGCATATAAATGTATGTATGTACACATATGAGTTTGTTTTTTTAATAGAGATATAAGTATACATAGTACAAGTTTAAAATCTTAAGCTTTATGAATTCTTACATATGCACACACCAAGACACAGAACATTTCTGTCACATGAGAGTGTCCCCTTCTGCCCCTTTACATCCAATCCTCCGAGTCCACAGGTAATTGCTATTCTGACTTCTATCTCCATAGATTACTTTTGCCAGTCCTTGAACTTCATATAAATACAATCATAGACTATGTGCTCTTTTGTGTCTTGTTTCTTTGGCTCAACACAGTGTTTGTGAGGTTCACTCATCTTATTGCATACACAGTGGTTTGTTCTTTTTTATTGCTGTGTCATATTCCATTGTGTGACTATTCCATAGTCTGGTTATCCATTCTCACATTGATGGATTTTGGGTTGTTTCCAGTTTTAGGATATCATGAATAAATTTACTGTGGACATTTTTGTACAATTATTTTGGACGTGAACTCATGTCTCTTAGGTATGTGCCTAGTTGCGGAGTGGCAGTCCAGAGTCATTATACCAGTTTAATGCAGCAATGTATGAGAATGAATTATATATATGTGTGTGTGTGTGTGTGTGTGTATATATATACACACATATATATATATATATATGTATGTTTTTTTTAATTTTGCTATCATTAAGGTACAATTACATGAACAACACTATGGTTACTTGACTCCCCCTATTATCAAGTCCCCACCACACACCCCATTATAGTCACTGTCCATCAGCATAGTAAGATGCTATAGAGTCACTACTTGTCTTCTCTGTGTTATATGGCCTTCCTTGTGTCTCCCCCACATTATGTGTGCTAATCATAATGCCCCTTTTTCCCCCTTATCCCTCCCTTCCCACTCATCCTCCCAAATCCCTTTCCCTTTGGTGACTCTTAGTCCATTTTTGGTTTCTGTGAGTCTGCTGCTGTTTTGTTCCTTCAGCTTTTTCTTTGTTCTTATACTCCACAGATGGGTGAAATCAGTTGATACTTGTCTTTCTCCACCTGGCTTATTTCACTGAGCATAATACCATCTAGCTCTATCCATGTTGTTGCAAATGGTAGGACTTGTTTTTTTCTTATGGGTGAATAATAGTCCATTGTGAATATGTACCACATCTTCTTTATCCATTTATCTACTGATGGACACTTAGGTTGTTTCCAATTCTTGGCTATTGTAAACACTGCTGTGATAAACATAGGTGTGCATATGTCTTTTTCAAACTGGGCTCCTGCATTCTTAGGGTAAAATCCTTGGAGTGGAATTCCTGGATCAAATGGTATTTCTATTTTTAGTTTTTTGAGAAACCTCCATACTACTTTCCACAATGGTTGAATGAGTTTACATTCCCACCAACAGTGTAGGAGGGTTCCCCTTTCTCCACATCCTCACCAGCATTTGTTGTTGTTTGTCTTTTGGATGGTGGCCATCCTAAGTGGTATGAGGTGATATCTCATTGTGGGTTTAATTTGCATTTCTCTGATGATTAGCGATGTGGAGCATCTTTTCATGTGTCTGTTGGCCATCTGAATTTCTTCTTTGGAGAAGTGTCTTTTCAGCTCCTCTGCCCATTTTTTAATTGGTTTATTTGCTTTTTGTTTGTTGAGGTGCATGAGCTCTTTATATAATTTGGATGTCAACTCTTTATCGGATGTCATTTATGAATATATTCTCCCATACTGTAGGATGTCTTTTTGTTCTACTGATGGTGTCCTTTGCTGTACAGAAGTATTTTAGCTTGATATAGTCCCACTTGTTCATTTTTGCTTTTGATTCCCTTGCCTGGGGAGATATGTTCATGAAGAAGTTGCTCATGTTTATGTCCAAGAGATTTTTGCCCATGTTTTTTTCATAGAGTTGTTTGGTTTCATGACTTACATTCAGGTCTGTGATCCATTTTTTTGTGTGTGTATGTGGTTAGACAATAATCCAGTTTCATTGTCATACATGTAGCTGTCCAGTTTTGCCAACACCAGCTGTTGAAGAGATTGTCATTTCCCTGTTGTATGTCCATGGCTCCTTTATCGTATATTAATTGACCATATATGCTTGAGTTTATATCTGGGCTCTCTAGTCTGTTCCTTTGGTCTATGTGTCCGTTCTTGTGCCAGTACCAAGTTGTTTTGATTACAGTGGCTTTGTAGTAGAGCTTGAAGTCAGGGAGCATAATTCCCCCCACTTTATTCTTCCTTCTCAGGATTGCTTTGGCTATTCAGGGTCATTTGTGGTTCTATATGAATTTTAGACCTATTTGCTCTAGTTCATTGAAGAATGCTGTTGGTATATTGATAGGAATTGCATTGAATCTGTAGATTGCTTTAGGCAGGATGGTCATTTTGACAATATTAATTCTTCCTATCCATGAGCATGGGATGTGTTTCCATTTATTGGTATCATGAGTGTCTTATAGTTTTCAGGGTATAGGTCTTTCACTTCTTGGTTAGGTTTATTCTTAGGTATATTATTCTTTTTGATGTAATTGTGCATGGAATTGCTTTCCTGATTTCTCTTTCTGCTAGTTCATCATTAGTGTATAGGAATGCTGCAGATTTCTGTGTATTAATTTTGTATACTGCAACTTTGCTGAATTCAGATATTAGATCTGGTAGTTTTGTAGTGGATTCTTTAGGGCTTTTTGTATACAATATCATGTCATCTGCAAAATAAGTTATATTTTTAAGATGAATAATTTAGCTTCAAATAAGTATGCCTGGATAGTCACATTTTTGGAAGGCTTGTTTGAATGGCCATTGGATTAGAAGCCAGAATTCTTGGGTCTGACGTTCTACCCTGCCACCAGCCCTACATGTTGTGCCGATCACATCATTACAATTTGCCTGTAATAGAAATGGTTAGGTCCTTGATCTCTAAAGTCAGTGGAGTACTGTGTGTGGTAGCATAATATTTAGATGTTCACTGATGTTTCCTCTCTATTTCTTTTTTCATGATCTCCCATTCCCTGCCAGCCTGGCCAGCAAGACCCTTCATCACTGGTTATTATCTCAGGGAAGGAAAGTCGTAGAAGAAAGTAGGTAAGATGACTCCTGTCTTTCAGGTTCAAAAGCCAGATCTTTGGCACAGAGAGGGTGGAACTTAGGCCCGAGGGATTTGAAGGACCTCATAGTGAGTAGATGTAAAGCTTCTAGTTCCCTGCTCTGTATAACATTGCCCTTCAAACAGAAAAGATTCACTGAATAGGATATGAAGAGAGATGGAGGGGAAGAAAGGAGTCAGTGATGTTGCTGAGTAAGGGCAGAGAAACTTAAAACAACCATTTTACTGCATCTCAATTTTGCGGGCTAGGAATTCACGCAGGGCTCAGCTAGGTCACTCTTGTGTTCCATGCAGTATTAAGTGGGTCACTCTGCAGTATTCAGCTGGTGGCTGGCTGGCTGGAGGGTCCTAGAAGACTTTGCCCTCATGGTGCTGTGGCTGACAGGCTGGGCTCAACTAATGTGTCTCCTTGTGGCCTCTCTAGTGGGGGACTCAGGGTAGTGGCTTCCAGGAAGAGTGTTTCAAGAGGCGGGAAACTGCCAGATTCTTAAGGCCTGATCCCAGCAATAGATCAAAAAGTCACAGTGCTACTTTACTAATATATAGTTGAAAGCAGTCAGGCTGCAGCCCCACACTTAAGAGAGGGGGACGTAAATCTTACCCTTCAAGGGAAGAATGTAAAAGAATTTTTAGCTAAGTGTAACCTGCTGCAGAAAGGCTCTGTGCCCTGCTCCCCTCCCCAGGCCAAGCAGCAGTGGGGAGGAAGGATACAGGAACCCTTAATAGGTTTGTAGGATCTGAGAACAGATTGGTACCACTTTTGGGGTTTAATTGGGGCAATAACAAGACCCTGAGAAGAGATGGCTGTGTGGTGTGCACATAAAGAAGGAGCTTTAGATAGAGTTCCTTAAGCCCAGCATGGCGTGGGAGCAGAGAAGTGAATTCCATGATTTCAGGAACAAGGGCCATACAAAGTATTACTCTGGTATGATAAGACTGATAGACTTCCGTGTGTCTTTCAGAAAGAGGGCTTAAGACAAGAACTCCTCATGTCTTGGTTTTTCATGAGCTGTGAATCAAATAGGGCAAGCGTGAAGCCTTGGACAACCTTGGGCAGTAAATGTGCCCTTTGTCATGCTGTCACTGACATGTGAGAGGCTTCCCTTATGCTAGTGGCTATTCAGAATTAAATAATATACTGTGTCTTGGACCCCTTTACCTCTTCAAAAGGGAGGACACTGGCTGTGTGTAGCCAGGACAGAAAGTGCATGGGGCATGGAGGTCAGACCAGCTGTTCCCAGCTAGTGACATACTGTGGAACTGAAAACTCCCAAATCTGTGGGACAAAAACTCTGGGACCTCTGATCAGCCAGGCAGAGAAAGAATTTCTTCCTGAGAAGGTTGTTATCACGCTGCTCTGCAGAGGTTTCTGTGATGATGAGAATGTTCTGTTCTGCTCTGTGCAATATGGTGGTTATCGGACACTTGATGTGCAGCTGAGAAAGTGAAATTTGAATGGTCTTTGATTTGAATAGTGGCTGCTGAATTGGACAGTCAAATCCAAAGTCTTGCTCTGGAAGCGCTGCTGGGAGCAAACAGCACCAGCTTGAGAAAGGATGAACTCTTCAGCTCCCACTTCAGACTTACCATCCAGAATCTGCACTTGGTCAAGATTCTCCAGGGGATTTGTGTCTCTGCTGAAGAGGAATTTTAAAGGACGCTCCAACCCCCACCTGGCCCCAACCTCCCACTCTGTACAGACGAGAGGTATAAACATGGCAAGATCTGAGGCTTCTGAGTGAAAGAACTGGGTAAGCCACAGGCCCGTTTCCCAACAGGGTGGTTGGGGGGCGCGGGCAGAGTGTTCTGAGAAGGGGCGGGGATGGGAACGGCCCCCTCTGCAGATCTTGCTGACAGCGTCCAGGGGGATAGTGGGAATCTATCAGAAGACCTGTCCTGCTTGCTCTGCACGACAGCAGGCTCTGCTCAGCCCAGGGGTAGTTTAGATGGCTGCACAGCCTGAAAACCACCCACATCTTGCCAAACGCAGCATATTCCTAATGATTGCAAAATATCTTTTGGATCAAATATGTTTTATTTCACCTTTTGGGTCTCAGAGAATTTCATCTCTTTTTTCCACACCGTATTTCTACCATAGTTCTGGCTGTCAAAGATGTTGTTTCTACCTACTTGTTTTAATTGCTACATCAATTTTTTGAGAAAACAAAGTTACTGTGATTTCTGTCCCCACTCCCCTCTCCACTAGCTTTGATGTCTGTCTTCTTCCACAAGCCTCTCTCGCTCCTGGTCTAGCCTTGGGGCTCTGTGGTGGCTTCTCTCTTCAAGCGGCAGTCCTTTTTACCTTCCCCAGGTTCCTGTTATTGATCTGTAAGGGCCACTGAATCTGAGGCAATAACACTTCTCCACAATGCTCAGCAGCATTGTGCCCTTGTGTTCTCTGTGAGGCAACCGTGTATTTGTGAAGAGAAGCTCATGAGCATGTCTTATTTCTCCAGGATCCCTTCATTAGCAAAACAGCAAAACCTTTGTTGCCCGAGCTTGGAGCTTGGAGAGGAGAGATCACTGCGCCAGTGGAGCACTCCAAAGTGCACAGCACAACGTGGGCTTGGGATAAGACATTAAGCGCATCCCATCTGTTCAGCAAGTGCAGTCCGTGAGCTCCTACTGGGGGCCACAAAGAGGGCCGAACCACAGTCTGGGGCCCAGAAGCTTAAGAACAATCACAGCATCTCCTGGGGTCAGGGAGTGCCAAGCAGAAGTGTGGAAGCCCTCTGATGGGGGCGTAGGTTGCAGCTGTTTTCACAGAAAGACAGGAGAAGTGGGGTGAACCCTGCCCCTGGCCTGAGTCTGAAGACTGAGAAGAAGCCAGAGCACTCCATTCTGGAGTCGGTGTGTGTGGTTTTGGGCTCAGAGCTGGGGGGATGGGGTCATGGAACCAAATATTTCTGTAGGGAGGATTGATAGAACAGAATGGAGGAGTGAAGGGGCTCAAGAAGGGAATAAAGAAACCAGGTGATGGGAATGGATGGGGAAAGGCAACGTACTCAGCAGGGGAGGTCCATATAGGGACCCAAAGGGCCTTAGGAGTATCTTGATAGGAAACCTAGGGGGCCTAGGAAGTGAGACTTCTATCCCAGTGTGGTGTGAGTGGCTGGTGTCGGGGGACAAAGTGCCCGGTTGGCTATGGAGTTAGCACACATCTCCATCCACGGAGAACTGTTCAGACCTTCACTAGGGACCAGGGGGTGTTCATTTCAGGGAAAAGTGTGTGAGGGGGGCTGCAAGTCAAGTCCCTGGAAATTGGACCAGTTTCTGAAAGTGAATTGGTCAAAATAATATTGATAACGGCAAATCTTTATGGAATGTGTCTCCTGTGCCAAGCACTTTTCTGAGCATCCTGTTAACTCATTTCATTCCAACAGCAAACCAAGCTGAGAGGCACTCGATGGCTCAGGAATTATGAATTTCTACTAAGTATCAGGCACTGTACCAAGTGTTGTGGATGCCACAGTGAGCAACACAGAGACTTCATTGCCCTGCTGGAGACCACATTCTAGTGGGGGCTTTGGCGGAGATCATAACCAGTGTAAGAAAACCACACACTCTGCTGATAGTGGTGAATGCTATGGAGAAAGGCAGAGGTGGGAATAAAGACAGACTGAGGAAGGGAGAGTGACAGAAGTCTAAGAAGTAGTTACTATTATTTTCACCATTTTACAGGTGAGGAAAAGCTAAACATCAATGAATTCTCTGAAAACTGTCCATTAAATGCTTTAAATTAAATATTGGGCGATTCTGGGGAGCTGTCTTGCTACAGAATCGGAGGTAGAGTCTGTTCTTAACTTTAAGTGGATTAAAAATGTTTTGGTAAAGAGAAACACTCCTTATTGTCTGTACTGATCCTTGACATATAAGGCAAGACAGCAGGTGTGGCGCCCTGCCCTCTCGCTTTCCAGAGCAGTGGGGCTTTCAGCACCACACCCCTCTGAGTCCAGCAGTTGGTATGCGTGTGTGCGTGTGTGTGTGCGTGTTTCCAGATGGGGGAAGAGGACTGGAGTTGGTGGAGGGTAGGGTCAGAGGGAGAGCCTGTGCAGGGGGATCTTCATTTTCAGAAAGCTCCCAGATGATTCTGCAGTGGCTGGCCCAGGCCACAGGAAGAACAGCCACCACTCACTGAACATCCACTGCGGGCCAGCCCTTTGATATGGTGGCAGAATGAATGGCGCCCTGAGAGCAGCTGGGAGGAAACTTAGGGGGCTGTCACTGGGCGGCAGGGAAGGTCTGGCTTTGCTGAGTTGGATGGAGAAGCCAAAAACAGGGGTGGAGTATCCAGGGATTCAGAGGGAGGGGGCAGAAGGGGCACAGACATGGCAAAGGAGTGGGAAGAAGACTTAAGTGAGGGAGGGTTATATAGTAGGAACATTTCAGTAGACTTTGCTGTCATAGTCCAACTCTCCATCCTGTTCCTAATCCACAATAAAATCTACATTACTCACCAAAGCTTGGGAGATTTTTTTCAACTTTACTTATAGAGTATTTCAAATATATACAAAACTGGAAAAATATTATGAACCCACATATACTGCATGTTGACTATGTTCAAAATGGTCAATATCCATATCCCAGACCCTGCTCCCAGATTGTTTTGGAGCAGATCTCAGAAATTTAGATTTTTTACCCATAAACATTTCAGTGTTCATTGAAAAAAGGGAACAGTTTCAGTTTAAAAACATTAGCACAGTGCCATTGTTGCATCTTCAATCTAATCAAGTAAATCCTAATTAATTAATCTAAAATTAAATAATAAATATGAATTTATTATCTACATTCAGCATTCAGATTTCTCAGATTGTCTCAATTTATTTTTTATTTTTGCGATGGTTCATTTCAATCAAGATCAAAATAAGGTTCATGCATGTCAACTGGTTGATATATGTCTTTCAATTAGTAGGTTCCACTTCAATCTCTATTTCATTTCTTGCAATTTAGATGTTGAAGAAACTAGGTTATTCACATGTAGAACTGTTCATGGCCTACATTTTGTTGATTGCTTCTCCATGGTGACATATAATAAGCTCCTCTGTTCCCTGTATTTTTTAAAAGTTGGTGGTTTGGTGACTCTGATCTTGGTTCGAAGTTTTTGGCAAGTTCACTTCACAGGTGGCCTCTTTCCTTTCAGGGGACACACACTGTATGGCACTCTCTGTCCCTCAGATGTGAGCAGTCATGGGCCCTCAACACCCAAATCCATTGGTTCATCAGAAGTTGCACACCGGTGATGTTCTCATTCTAACAACCCTTCTTCATTTATTAGATAAAATTATTCTATAAAGGGAAATTCCCTCTCAATTGTTTGCTTCCCCTGAGTTACAGGAGAAGTATGATGTATACTTGATTCTTTCCTTTGATTAATTCTCCAAACAATAAGTAGGTGCCCTAGTACTTTGGGAATTACCTTTGTGAGTGACAAAGAATTAAGCCTGACTTCCTCAGGGGGAGGGTGGAACCCTCAAATTCTCTTAGAAGTTTTGCAGGAGAGATATTAGTACACCCATTTTTATAGATGGGGAATTGGAGACTCAGAAGTGGCATAGGTTAGTAAGTGGAGGAGCCAGGATTTTATCTGAAGTCTGCCTGGATACAGAGACTAAACTCTTTACTGCGTGGTGCAACCCTCTTCATAGGGCTGGAAAGAATTCACCTAAACCTGGGGTCTGGCTGGTCAAAGCCTCCTTTCACTCTGGCTTGCCAAGAAATCAACAATCTGTAGTCTGAAAAAATGATATGTGTATCCTTGAGATCTAAGAATAATCTTATTTAAAATTGTATTTAATCACAATTGTAGTATTGAATTGATTACACAACACTTGTGTTGTTAGGTAATTTCCCAAAAGTTGAACCCAGGCTAGGTTTCTTTGATCAGATTTATCTAATTCACTTACTGCAATATGATATGCTATGATATCACGATTTGCAATGTTGCAGTACCTCATAAACATCATTTGTACATGTCAGTGAAGGAACCTCATATCAGAAGCAGTTTATTTATAAAGGAGTCTGGGAGAAGCTGAGGATTAGCTATAGGAATGAGGAGATTTACTAAAACTGAAGGTCAACATTAGGTCATAAAGAACGTTTGTATAGTTGATGCTATTTGTTTAATTAACAGCAGCATGAAGAACCATCAAAATAGCCAATGAATTAATGAAGATTATCCATCACAGTGCTTTCTGTTGTACGTGGCTCAAACTGGTTTAAACTGGTTTACAGGGTTTACTTGCTAAATGGTCCAGGGATAGACTTGACAGGCCTTCAGGGCTCAAATGCTGTGTTGAGGACCTGGTTTCTCTCTTCATGTCTGGGCTCTGCTTATTTTGTGCTGAGTCCATCCTCACGAACACTCTCTTCTGTGTGCCCAAGATGGCAACTGCCAGCTGCTCACCGCCATGGCTTCAGCCTGCCCATTTGACATTGGCAGGGAAGAGGAAAGGGCCTTCTTTAATTTCTCATAGAGTCTTATTGGTTCTGAATGGGTCCTTGTGTCTGTCCCTGAACCAATCACTATAGCCGAGAGAGTGAGACACACTGCTTGGCTCAGCCCCAGGCCACATATTCCAACCTTGAGCCCAGGGGCTGAAAGTGGGTAGAGCCCAAAGGAATAGATATGGCATTGTCAGAAGTGTGAATAAATGATGGAAGGCAGAACCAGCAGAACTCCACTTCAGGCTTCTCCAGGCAACTCTAGGATGGGTCCAAGGAAGTGATTTAGAGACCTGTGGATTATCTAAAGTTATTAGGTACAAGTTTGTGTTCATGTCTATTTTTCAAGGAGAGAGTCCACAGCTTTGAATAGATTAGGAAAGGCCAACCCCAAGAGTTGGTTATTCTGAGGTAAAGTTGGATATGGAAGCAGATTGAACTGCTTTTTTAAAAATTGAGATTTCATATCTGTACTGTCTTCTTGAATGCTATTGATATAACTTGTGGAAACTGTTTTTTAGCTGCCTTTTACCAAATGATGGTGAACCAGAATTTAGGTTATATCATTTCTTCAAGTTCTAGATGTTATAGACCCCCTTTTCCCTCCCAAGAAAGCTGCATGTCTTGGGCTACAGCAGAGGTCACCCCAGTCTCTTCATGGCCCTGCTAGGGATCCTGCAGCCACCTGCTGTCCTCAGAGCCTGCCTCAGCAGCCCAATTGCCCAGGGATGGAGAGCTGCTCATTCTGGGTGAGGAAAGGTCCTTTAGGAATCATTCCTTATAATGACTGCAAGGCCTCACGCAAACGGTTCTTTTTCTGCTAATCCCAGGCTAGAGCCCAGCTTGTGCATTGTTGACACCAGATAATGTTAGTCCTCTGGCTGATACACCGGCGGATGAGCAAACATTGGGCGGATGGCAAAATCCCCAACTTCCTGAGCGTCCACAGTTGCAGATTCATTGATGTTTAAACACACAGAGACCTACTGCCCTTACCCTTTGAGTTTGCCAGGAGATGAGGTTATCTGTGAGCAATTGTAAATAGCCACTTCTCATTTCCCCCTTCAACTTGCACTTTGGATTTTAATCAGGTTCGAAGCCTGCCTGGCATGTTGCTTATTTTCTGTATGACCCACAGGCTAGCCCAGGGATGCTTAGGCTTTAACATGCATGCAAACCATCCAGGGATCTTGTGCAAGTGCAGATTCCCCTGTGGTGGGGCCCTAGAGTCTGCATTTCTAACAAGCTCCCAGTGATGCCAATGCTCCTCCAAGGTCACACCTCTAAAAGCAAAGGCTTGGCCAGCGGCTTTTAACCTTGACTGTAAATTGGAGATACCTGGGGAGTTGTCTGGGTCCTTCTCAGATGTTCAGATTTACCGGTTTGGGGTGTGACTCCGCAGGTGATTCTGATATGCAGCCAGGGTTTGGAACTGCTGGGCTGACCCACTCATCCTTCAGCCTCCACTTGCTAGCCACTCCCCACTGCCAGCCTGGCCTGCTCACACCACCTCTGCCCTGCACTCCTGGGTGGTCCTTTCCTTGTCCTTGGCCTTCACAAGAGCTTGTTGTGAATGAGAACCTTTTGCACAGCCTGATGTGGCCAGCACTACTTCTATCCTCATTCTGCAGACAGAGAAACTGAAGTTTGAAGAGTGACGTGTCTTGTCCTAGGGTGGTTTTTAAGCAGCAGTGTCAGGACCCAGCCAGGCCCTCTGTCTGTGGAGCAGAGTGGGTTTAAGAGGATGGCCTCCAGGGTCAGCCAGATGTGGGTCCACCACTTACTATTCGTGTGACCTTGGGCAGGTTACCTGGATTCTGTAAGCATGTAGGTCCCTCTCTGTAAAATGGGGGTGATAAGAGTGCCTACTTCTCAGGGCTACTGGGGCACACAGGAGATGACACCAAAGCCTGGGCCACAGGAAGGGTTAAGGCCATTTCAACACCGTATCTCCACAGTGCTTCCTGTGGGCCCCTCTTCTTTGGCACTAGGCACAGGCTTATGGATTAAAACCCATCTTTTCTGTGTCACATCAGCTCTTCGGTGGAAAGCATGTTCCTTCAATGTAGAAAGGTACAAATGTGAAATGTGTGTGCATGTGATGTGATTCATGGCTTCAAATGGGTTTCATTTGCCCCTGGGGCCTGAAGTGGGAGGTAGTGGATTCACAGTGAGTGGTCAACTGATGGAATTGATGTTAGTCAGTGGAAAATAATCATGTTGGAAACATAACTGTTATATAAATACAAGTAGTTACCTTGCTGGAGTCATTCATTCATTCATTCATTCATTCACTGCCTTCTGTTCACTCAGATTTTCTGGAGTGACAAAGACAGCTCAGCTGAATCCCCCAAACCATAGGCCAGGCTGGCTCTGCTGTCCACTTCCACAGTGGTAGGCTGGGTCGGTTGAGAAGATAGGAGCTTCATCTCATGCGCGTCTCACATACTCAGGTAAGTACTTCCTCGGGGCTCCTCACCCAAGACTCCCCCGGTTTTAACATTGGCAGTCCCACATCCCTGGACACCTCTCCGTCCCAGGCACATGGGGACAGTTGGTTACCCCCAAACAACTACACAGGTCTGGAGATATGTCCTTGCCTTGCACAATTCTGCGGCTCTGTGACCNTCTTGGTTTTTCATGAGCTGTGAATCAAATAGGGCAAGCGTGAAGCCTTGGACAACCTTGGGCAGTAAATGTGCCCTTTGTCATGCTGTCACTGACATGTGAGAGGCTTCCCTTATGCTAGTGGCTATTCAGAATTAAATAATATACTGTGTCTTGGACCCCTTTACCTCTTCAAAAGGGAGGACACTGGCTGTGTGTAGCCAGGACAGAAAGTGCATGGGGCATGGAGGTCAGACCAGCTGTTCCCAGCTAGTGACATACTGTGGAACTGAAAACTCCCAAATCTGTGGGACAAAAACTCTGGGACCTCTGATCAGCCAGGCAGAGAAAGAATTTCTTCCTGAGAAGGTTGTTATCACGCTGCTCTGCAGAGGTTTCTGTGATGATGAGAATGTTCTGTTCTGCTCTGTGCAATATGGTGGTTATCGGACACTTGATGTGCAG